CATTTTAGGCGTTGGATTTTTGAAAGAAATCACTAAAAATATTCCTAAATTTGGCGCGAGCTCCAGGTGCAACTACTCGGTTCTTCCCAGCGCTGACGACAGCACCGAAAACCTTTTAAGAACCAATGACGAAGACGAGCCTTCTAATCTTCTAGATCACATAGCTCATATGCGTTTCAGCTATGCAAAATACCACGGGATCATGTTTCAGTACCAAATTTCCGAGCCCTATCGCCAACAACTGAAAACTCCAGGTAACTTATTTAACATAAAGTGTTGTACCGAAATACTCATATTTTGTTTATATCAGTGAAACGAATAGAAGATTTCGTCCAAATGGTGAACAAAGTTATTCTTCTCATTTGTGCGATGGAGATGACATCCCAAAATCGGCATCTGTGCGTTTTAAGGAAACAAAACTTTCTGAAGACAACGAAACAACTTCTGACTATGCCAGTGCAGAGACAGTTAACAGGTTGAATGAACAATCAGGATTATTTGGATTCTGCAATCCCCATTATTTAGGACCTGACGTTCAGCATATATTGATGAAGAGAAATGATGACGACGCCAGAGCTCAGCAAGTAAAAAATCATTGTTGCAATTATTTATTATCTCTTCTAACTTTTAAAGTAATTTATTTGTATAATGCATAAACAATTAGTAGAGAATCAAATAATTTATAATATTGCCTTAGGTCAAATAGTAGAAATATTATCGCGGCTTGTACCTTTTCAGGCCGTCGAGCTTTAGATACTCCTGATTCAGGGATGGACAACCCTCCATTTTGTGCAGAGGATGGTGTAGAGAGAATGATGGCTCTTCCTGTTAGAAAAAACAAGGGCCCGTAGTGCTGGTCGTGGTGATGGACAGAGCAGGTTACCCTTGTTTGTTTATATTCTTGGCGGTAAAGAACAACAAGCATCGGTATTTCAAAAACCACTTTCGGTTTGGAGATTGCAACTGTAAAACAAAGTTATTATTTAGTTTTTAACTAATATTTATTCATTTATTGTGATATCTGGGATGGTACGTTTTTTTCCACAAATTAGACAGATTAGGAAAAATTCAAAATTTGTAATGTTTTATTAACCGAAGTAAAAGATATAACATTATTTTGGTTTATGTTGATTGAGAACAGGAGCATCCTAATCAAAGATTCAGGAGAACAGAAGCTCTCAGTTCAAAGATTCATTAGCAACTTAATAGATAAACGATATTTTGCTTGCGGTCTCAAATATTTTTTCAAGCTCAAATAATTTTCGAAAAGTTATCAATGATTTCTTTAGTCATAATATTAAACGTTCAAATGTTATTAAAAATCATTATAGTAACGATTTTTTATAAAAGATATTATAATACATATTATATACATCAGGTTATTGTTCTTAATATGATGATATGATTTTCAAAAAGATTTGTAAAAAAACGTCCTTAAACAATTTTAATTAATTGTAGAAATATTATTTTTAAAACTGTACCAATATTTCACAAAACTCGATGCAATCAGTAGATTTACGAGATAGAAAAGTACTTCAAAATGAAGGCAAATATATTTTTAACTATGTAATCAATATATATTTATTTCATTATTTTTAAAGGAAACAGTCATATTTCGATGTTCAACGTCTATTTTTTCAACACTAAAAGAGGCTGTATTTTAAAAGTACATATTTTAAAGGATAGACAGTAAGTAAAGTTATGGGTTCATTTTTTACAATAATAATAACTGAAAACTTATATTTGAATAAACAATAACATTGTTTTTTAATATAAGATATTAGCACGTTACAACACACATTTGCATAACATTTTTAATTTGATAAAAGCGACATATATTGTATTAATTTTAGTAAATTGACGATTGACCAACTGAGATTTTATTTACTTTCTAATATAGTGTTTACCAAAATATTATAATGTTTGCCTTTTGTGTTGAAGTACTTTAGATTAGAATTTTATAATCTCAAAAAAATTACAGAACAATTAATTAGAATCTATAGTTTTACAACTCACAATCTCAAGTCCGACTAGTCAATTTAAGACATAATAAATTACCTATTAGCATCTGTGGAAAAACAGGGCATTATTTAGTGTCACTATATAGTGTGTTCTATTCTGTATAATATAGCTTAATAAGATCGGCTGATGTTAGATTAAAACCAAAAATATTTTTGTACGTATCAGAATTTTTTCACAAGCTGCAAAGAGAACTTCAACAACGATCATTCTGATCGATATTTTTGCATGTCTGTAGGACTAACATAAAATAAAAATTATAGTGGTGGCATATATGGAATTTTTAATCATATCGTAAAATTTATAAGTGTTATTTATTGTGGTTATTAATTTATTTGTAAAGGGCCTACATGATTGGTTATGCTTGAGTTTTCAAAATTAAATACATTTTACTCAGAATATGGACATTACTCAAATTTGAATAAATGAAAGAAAACATGATTGAATGAAATCTTTCAAAAATATCTATATCAAACTGAACTGCCGAAAAGCACTGTTAATTTTAACATATATATATATATATATATATATATATATATATATATATATATATAATATATATATATATGAGATTCAGTCTTCAGGGCAATACATCAATTAAAAACTTGTATGACTCTAAAACATTTTTATTTTTTCTTCGACTTTAAAACATTTAATTATTTCATAATTATAATTGTTCACAATGCACAATAAAACCAATTCTTGTCACTTTAAATTGAACAATATATAAATTTTAGAATGAGTTTTTTATGAAATTGTAAAGTACATCCCGCTTACAATTTCATAAAAAAACTCATTCTAAAATTTATATATTGTTCAATTTAAAGTGTCAAGAATTGGTTTTATTGTGCATTGAAAACAATTATAATTATGAAATAATTAGGATTATTACAATTACCTACATGTAACCTCATACCATATCACTTCTTATATATTAGTTTTAATTAATAATTTCTATCTGTACCTTCAAACTAGAGTCCACTGAAGATGACACAAAACAATGTGTCGAAACGTATGGAAAAAATAAAAATATTTTAAAGTCATACAAGTTTTTAGTTGATGAAGCCTTGAAGACTGAATCTCACATATCTCAACATCAAAATTATAAAAATTTAACATATATATATATATATATATATATATATATACATATGTTAAAATTATTATATAATAATATATTAATTGTATTAAATCTTGCCAATAATTGTACCAAATGCATAGTACCTTTATTTAAATTGCATAAGTTTTTATTTTATCTACATATCAATTTTGACAATTAGTAAAAATTGCTGAATTGATTTAAAATTCAGTTAAACAGTAAAAAATTTATTTTGATATTATTTCAAGTAGAATATATATTTTCGTGAAATATAAATTTTGTATTTTCAAATATCTAGATTGGATTTTTAATTATTTGTTTGACAGTGCCAAGATTTTTATTAATTTTGTTATAATTAGTTTAAAACCTCAATAACAGTGTACATTATTAATTTTTTTATTGAATTTTTTAAATTAGTAAATATTAGATTAATAATTTATGTGCCAAATGTAATATGTACTAGGATATAAGTATTCTATAAAATTATTTTACTTGATGTTAAAATGTTCAAAGGTTTGTGTTTAATTATGTTTCATAATTAAAGATAATGTTTTAGTTGTTTTTGTTATATGTGATGTATATTGCTGTAGTGTGATCAATATTATTGAAGTTTCTTTAATTATAGATTCGATTTTTTTATGGTATCTCGAAATAAGTTTCTCAAAAAATTATTGCAATTTTTCAAAATAGAATTAAATAGATTCTTGAGTGAGATTTAGTTTGATATTACATTTATAAGAATTTCCTTATGAATTTATTTAAATAACATAATATCAATATTATAAGAATATTGTGTAATGCTATTTTTAATGAATACCTGTATTATCATGTTTAAAAATTGTTTCATAATTAGTTTTAGATTTGATGCATTTATTATGGGAATTATTATAATGTTGAGTATGTACTATATTAGAAAAGATAAAACTGGATTAAACTGTTTATGTTCAAGTTTTTGTTTAACTTAAATTAAACTCTATATTTTAAAATTCGCGCCAATCAAGTTAAGTTGATGCTAACTTCAAGGAAGTGGAAGAAACTTCAAAACCTCTTTACCCTCTCTTTACATTAAGTTTAAGTTTATTATTTTACCATGCTTAAATAACCCTAATATTTTAATAATAATAGTTGAAATAAAAATAAAGAAAATGTGATAAACAAGTACTGTCAAGGTGAGATATCAGGATCAATATTAATCAAAATTTAATCTAATTTTTAATGTAACTTCATTATAATTAGAATCAAAATTTGTAGCATGGATGAAACAAAGGAACAATTAATCTATCTAGCAAGAATCGAATCACTTGCTGAAGAAATTTTAGTTGATCGTCAAGAAATGGTGAAACTAGATGAGCGAAGAAACAATTTACGTGTAGCTGCTCGTGAAATTAGAAATTCAACAGAAAATAAATTTTGGATTCAAATTGGCGCCAGCTTAGTAAAATCTGAGAAAAATCGAGCTCTTGACATACTGCAAAAAGATACTGACTTGATAAATACTGAAGTAGAAAATTTGCAAAAAAGTATTAAAGCTAAAGTGAATCAATTGAGAGAACTAGAACATGCATCACCACTTACAGGTTTGATGTTAAACCCTCTTTCGAATAAAGAGATGTCTGTGCTAAAGAAAAATTTGGTTTGATTGGTTTGCTTGTAAGTGAATTTAGAATTTCTGAATACAGTTGTTTAAAACATTACAAAGATATTTTTATCAAAGCAATTATTGTTGGAAGATTTAACAAATCTCTTAAACAAAAGCCAAGCTGATTTATATACACAAGTTTATTATTTATATATCACATTTTAATAATAATAAAATAATGAATACTGTATGCCGTTTAACATCTATATGGAAATATTAATTTTTAATAAATTTAATTAATAAATATAAATTTCCAAACAATATTTTATTAAAATTATTAGTGAAGGTTTTTTCTCAAACAGTACATATCAGTCAGAACAATAATAAATAACATTTAATATCAAACATCCAATATCACTCTATGTACATCAATGTTATGCTTCATGGGTGGTTGTGTTAGCGTTCCTTGTGCAGCGACTGTTTCTACAAAAGATGCTATAGCTTGGTAATAACCCTTTTTTGTCCAAGTTTCATTGTGGGTACCACCTTCAATTTTATGTAAATATTTCAATTCAGATCCACATCTTGAATGCAATAGCGTCATCATTGATGGGGGTACAAGAGTATCGGCTTGACCAGATATGAACATTGTTGGAACTGTCATGCATGGTATTTTATGTAGTGACATAAACTGTAAAAATGAAAAAATGGGGTATTGAAATACAAATCAACAACTTGTAATTAAATAATCAATATTGTATGAACCTGGTTTTTGTAAAAACATAATGGTAAGTATTCTATTGGTTTCCAAATCAGTAATACTTTTGCCATCTCTGGAATAGAAGTGAAAGTGTTCTCGACTATCAAACACCAAATTCTTGTAGAGTATTCAACATTTGTGGCTAAATCAATAGCAACAGCTCCACCTTTGGTAAGGCAAAATTAGATTTAAAATATATGCATTCCAAGTACATTTTTATTTTATGTTTTAAGTTAACATTACCTAAAGATCTTCCAAAGAGTATAATCTTAGAATGATTTATATCATGTCTTGTATACAAATAATCTAATGCAGCTCTTGCATCCATACATAAACCCTCCTCCGAAGGACAACCGCCAGAAAGACCATAGCCTCTGTATTCTAACAGCAGAACATTATAATTTAAAGCTTTGTAAAATCCTGATATGTATGTTAATCTATAAAATTATTAATCAAATATTACTAATCACATATCACACATTTGACTCATTCACTTTTACCTGTGGCCCATATTGCCAGCATTTCCATGAAAAAATACAATTGTAGGGGCATGTAAACCTTTTTCACCAGGATGCCTTATGAAGAACATATGAAGCGCTGTTCCATCTCCTGCTTTATAGGATATACTTTCATATGGTAAGCCAAACATGGACGGCAAAGGCACAAACACTCTTGAGTGGGAGGGCATATCGGGATGGTAAATTAGTTGGTCTTCAGCATGGTACAATATACCTAAACAGTAAATAATATATATATATATATATATATATATATATATATATATATATACACACAAACTTATTTATGTTTATAAAAAGTCTTCTTTATTTCTAACAAAACAAATGAGATAGAATCTAAGACGACTGCTTTAAGGGTTAATGTGGTAATAATTTATGCAGTTACAAACCACAAAGCTAAATATTATTTAAATGTAGAAAGATAAATTTAAATTATGGGGACTTGAATGAAAATATTTCAATGTAGGTTTTCTATTATCCCACTTACCTGTTATAGCAAATAGCAATAAAAGGAAAGCCAAAAGGCCCCCATAAAACCAATATAAAATTAAACACGCCAGTGCCGTAGCACTAGAAATTGCCCATAATTTTTTTAAGACTCCAACTAAAATTCGTACAATTTTTAAATCCTGCAATCTCATTGCTGACATAAGGTCACAAAATATGAAATAGAAACAATTTGTTTTGATAATAATTTACTCTAAAGATCGGAATCAGCATATTTAAATTTATATTACATTAATTATGTGAAAAAAAGCTTTAATTATTAAAAGCAAAACGTCATGTTTGTTGGGTTGGTGCAAATTTTTGACAGATGTGAAATACTGCTATTAGCTTTTGAGTTGAAAATATGATAAATTTATTATTTTTGAGAAGAAACAAGTTTTATACAAATGATAAAATAATTTAATTACATTATATCATATTTTTCGTTAAATTTATATGAAATTGAATTATGTTGTATGGGGATATGTGAGGTTATGTTGAAGCATAAGTGATATCTTGTAAAATGTATACATGACAGAAATATTTTTTTCTGTGTAAAATACATTCTTATCTCTTAATCTACATTTATATCGCTCTGTATTTTATAATAGCCTATATATAAAGTGCTTCAAATACGACGGTTGCAAAATCATATTTATTCGCGTTTTGCTTATGTCAAACAATATAACGCAATACTTGTAACAATAATAATTGACGTGGGTTAATTTTTGTTGCCTTTCAATCAAGTGTATTAATTTTCGAATTATATTGCCTAAAATTCACGGTATAAGTAATTATATATATATTTTTTTTTAAAAAGTGAATCATGTGTTCCATCCTTTGTGCCAACTCTTCATCTGCAGCTTTTTTTTTAACTGAATAGACGAATATGCCTATTATTTTGAATCCATATGTCAAACAATTATCCTGACAATAAATTTTTCTACATGGGATTTATTTTATTGCGTTAAAAATGGCTATTTTTTTCACCATATGTGGGCCCCAAATTCAGTTCCTACTTACTCTGGGTTGTTTCATTGTGTGCGTGTTTTTTACAAGAGGTGAAGATGATATTCGGACTAGTAATATAATGTCTAAAAAAGAACGAGATGACTTAAAGTGAGTACCGATTAATCAAAAATATTTTGTTTTTGTGATGTTAAAAAATTATTGAATTTAATGGTATTTTCAGAGAGGAATCTCGTGAAATGTTTTATCATGCATATCGCGCTTATATGGATAATGCTTATCCAGCTGACGAATTAATGCCTCTGAGCTGTGCGGGGCGTTACAGAGGAATAGCTGCTCCTAGAGGGGATATGGATGATATTTTGGGAAATTTTTCACTAACACTTGTAGACACCTTGGATAGTTTAGTTATTTTAGGAGATTTTGAAGAGTTCGAACATGCTGTGAAATTAGTTATTAATGATGTTTCTTTCGATAATGATATTATTGTATCTGTATTTGAAACTAATATTCGAATGCTGGGTGGGCTTTTGTCGGCTCATGTTCTAGCTGAATATTTGCAACAAAGATATGATATTATGCTCTGGTATAGAGGTGAATTGCTACACATGGCAAAAGATTTAGGATATAGGTTACTTCCTGCTTTTAATACAACAACAGGAATTCCTCATGCAAGAGTAAGGCTTTTTTCATAAAACTGGTTTCTTGTATCATATCAATTTATATATTTTTTGTGAAATTAAGTTAAATGAAATTTTAGGTAAATTTAAGGCATGGGATAAAGGGAGAACGATTGGAAAAGGCTCGTGAAACTTGCACAGCTTGTGCTGGAACAATGATTTTGGAAATGGCTGCCCTGTCTAGATTAAGTGGAGAACCTATATTCGAAATGAAAGCACATCACGCAATGGATGAATTGTGGAAAATGCGTCATCGGAGTTCTGGTATGATTTTATATATGCACTGGTACTGCGATATATGGGTTTAATTGGTTCCGTAAAAGCGCTCGTATTTTGAGTCGTTCTTATCTCAAAGCAATTTTTTCCATATAAATGCATCCAAATGCCAATAGTTCGTACCAGCACCGTGTTTTGTGTTAATGTTTTTTAATGTTAAAAATAGATTTAGTATTTATTAATTTAATTATGATATTTTCCTGTTCATTCATGATTTTGCGGATTGACTTAGACATGTTTAAGTCACAACGCTCATGCTCAAACTATAGAATTTTTATAGATCAGATTATAGAATTTTTAACTTTCCGGAGGGTAGTTATAGTAATGAGCCGAAAATCGAAAATGAAAATTTTTGCATATCTCTACGTTTTGAAGGTTTTTTTTTTGTATAGCGAAGGAAATGCCTTTATGCCTCCCAGGCTGGTGTTTTGTCTGGGTATGTCGGACTCAATACCGCCCTGGTATAATACCGACTAAGACCTCAGCTTTGCCCTTGCCTCTGGGCCCCACGGAAACCGCCGTTAGACATAACTTCGTGGGGGGGAGGATCTAGAATGTTATAATTCTTAACTTGATTTTATACTCATCTTTTAAATGGGCGAAGCCCCATTCGCCCTTTCTCTTTCCATAGAACGCAGGTCCATTAATACGTCTCTCGCAAATCTGTCTATGGCGTTCCAAGCAGCTTCACTTATCAGCATCACTTCAACAACATTACCTGTGGTAATTATTTGTTTCAGTGTCTCTTCCACATCGTCCCGTACTGCACATAATCGCGGACATACGAAGAACACATGCTCAGCATCTTCGATTTCGCCCAAACAATATGGGCAATCCGGCGAGCTATCGTGCTTGAAGCGGTGTAGGTAGGCTCGAAAACAGCTGTGCCCAGATACCATTTGCGTAGTATAATAATTTACTTCTCCATGCTTGCGACTTAGCCAGACTTTGATGTTTGGAATGAGACGATGCGTCCATCTGCCCTTCACTACGACATCCCACAGTTGCTGCCATCGGTCAATGCTGTTCTGCCGTTCAATGGATGTGTGTGTGTGTGTGTGTGTGTGTGTATTTGTGATCAACAGATTTGAATGGTTCAAAATACATTCGATTCCTATCGATAGGGAAATGTGTTGATTAGTTTTTGGCACAGGCAGGTCCAGCCCTTTTGGAGATACAGAGCAAAGAGTGCAGAAAATAGAAATCGAGATTTTGAGAGAACGGAGCATCCGATTTGAATGAACTGAAAAGCATTCAATTGTAATGATGGGGAGAAGTGGTGGTTAGATTTTGCAAAGGGAGGTCCAGCCGTTTCGAAGATACGAAGCTAAATGTACAAAAGATGGCATATTTTGAGAGAACTAAGCATCCGATATGAATGATTCAAAAAACTATCTGCTTGTGTTGACGAAACAATTGCTTTTGGAAAAAAATATTTTAAACATTTTCTTTCAGTTTTTTTTTTATTTTGTATACGAAAATAATTCAGTTTTAATTTTAATTATTGATGAAGTTCTTAATCTCACTTATATGCTTTAAATAAATAAGTTTAACTTTTCAATTCAGTTTATATAATTCTTATAAATAGACAATGTAACAGTATTTATTTATAGTAATCTATTTGAAAACAATTAATATTCCTCGAACATTTTGTTACAATATGGGAACTTCCAGCAATTTGCCTTATTGCACGATGCCATACACCACCAGTATTTAAACTTTTTTAACTTTTTCAGGGTGATTTAGAGCTCAGAAAGCTGCTTATAAATTATTGTAAGGCACTGAGCTGTATTTACCTTCATCAACTTTTTCTTGTATTATGCTTGTACATCCTTGCTATTCTCATATTTTTTTTAATAATTTTACATCTTAATACAATGGAGTGTTTTCAAACCCATAATTATAAAAGTAAATAATATTTTGTAATTGCACAAAGAGCAAAAACGCCTACTTAACATATATAAATGACTAACTATAATATAATTTACTATCATAGAACAGGCAAAGTATTTTTATGACAAGAAAATTATTGTTACATTGCCATTAACATTTTTCTAGAAAACCCTTACTTGCTCAAAGCTCGTAACTCGAATATTGCTCGTATGTCGAAGCAACAAATCGCTCAAAGCACTCATAACTAAGGTAGCTTGTAAGTCGGAGTACCACTGTATTTATAATAAAAACTAAAATTGTTTAATAATAATTATACATATTTAGTTTTATCATCCTTTTTCCAGTTTTTAGAATCTTATTTCAAAAATGTTAACTTTTTCTCAGATTTAATGGGGACTGTTCTAAATGTACATTCTGGAGACTGGATAAGGAAAGACTCAGGTGTAGGTGCAGGAATAGATTCTTATTATGAATATTGTTTGAAAGCCTATATTTTACTTGGTGAAGACAAATATTTGAATCGATTCAATAGACATTATTCTGCGGTCATGAAATATATAAGTCAAGGGCCAATGTTATTGGATGTTCATATGCACAGGTTAAAACTTTTGTGTTATTATTAACGCCCATGTTAATTGTAATAATAAATAAACTTAATCGTGTTGCAGACCACATACAAATTCAAGGAACTTTATGGATGCTTTATTAGCTTTTTGGCCAGGTTTACAAGTTTTAACTGGTGACTTAAAACCTGCAGTAGAAACTCATGAAATGCTATACCAAGTCATGCAGAGGCATACATTAATACCAGAGGCATTTACATTAGATTTTCAAGTTCATTGGGCGCAGCATCCTTTAAGGCCTGAATTCTTGGAATCTACATATTTCTTATATAGAGCTACACAGGATCCATATTACTTACAGGTATAAGTTAATTTTTACTTTTAGATTATTTATGTATATTTATATTAAAAAATTCATTTTCATAGGTCGGTAAGAAAGTTCTTAGAGCACTGCAGGTACATGCAAAAGTACCATGTGGTTATGCCGCTGTTAATGATGTCAGAACAGGAATGCATGAAGATCGAATGGATTCATTCGTACTTGCAGAAACTTTTAAATATTTATTTTTATTATTTTCTGATCCGTCGGACTTAGTATTAGATCTGGATGAATTCATTTTTACAACTGAGGCACATTTACTACCACTAACACTAGCAGGGAGTGTCAATAATTCCACTATATTGGGTGCGAGTAACATTATATTATTTAATTTTCTTACACTCTTTAATGTTCTTTCGGTTATATATAAAGCATATCATATAGAACAAATGTATTAATTGATTTCAACTGATTTACATGATTACAAAGTATGATAGAATAATATTTATTTATTTCAAAGGTGATCTTGATGAAGATATACTTGATACGGAATTTAGCCGAACCTGTCCAACAACAAGAAAACTATTTCCTGAATCAGTAAGAAAACCTCTACAGGATTTAGTTTCTGGAGTTTGCGTTAAAACTAGTCAACCAGGGTCCAGGAAACTCAAAGCAGCCGATTTTCAGACAAACAATCCGGAGCATTTGAAAATTGTCAGAGATATGGGAATATCTATGTTAACACTCAATGATGGAAGAGTTCAGCTTCTACACACATTTTCCAGTGTAGGTTTGTTTGTGACGTTAATGACAATAGTTGTGTTATTAATAACAATTTTTTTTAATTTGTAAATAAATAGAGCTATTGTGTTCATAAATATAAAAGTATGTGAAGTGATGGAGCAAATGGTTTTATAAATTAGTACAGCGAAGAGTGAATGATATATTGAATCAAATTTGAGTTATTATTTATTTTTATATAATAAAAAAGAAATAAAAGATTCAATGACATAATTATGTAAGATATAATTGGTCATTTGGTCTTTAATTATTTAAAGGGGTATTCTGGTCTAGATTGTAAAGAAATATTTTGTTTTTTTGTGATATTTTGAAAGTTTAACTATTCAAGAATATCTGTACAAAAGTTTTCAAAATATAAATTATTGTCGAATATATAGCTATTCGACCATGATAATCCTTCTTTGTATTCTTCCTCTGCGAAACTTTAAAGGCGTTTTTTTTTAAACCGTATTTTTTTATTCGATACCCACAATTTCTCAATTTTCTACTGGACTTAATAAACTCCTCTTCAGTATGAACTACCCTCATACTCAAATTCCGCAAAAAAAATATTGTTCGCCTTTTTTACGGTCGTTCAAAATTAACATTAAATTCATACGTCTAGACCAGAATACCCCCTTAAAGCATGTGTAAATAAAAATATACGATTATTATTATTATTTTTTTTACTAAGAAAACTTGTTTTGATTGTTATAACTTTAATTTTTTAGTATTGTTGAGAATATCTTCAGATTTATGAAGACTAAAACATATAAAACTATTATATATTTTTTAAAAAGTACTATTTGTTTTTTTATATACATGTAGGATTTATATATATATATATATATATATATATATATATATATATATATTAAAAATTACTTTTCATTTAACACATATTGGTAATTTTAATTTTTGCTTTTTCATTAAAATTACTTATTTTAAAATTTATTTAGACTAAATTTAAGCCGGTAAATAAATACTAATAAAAAAGTCATCATTTGGAGAAATCACCATTCTCTTCTATTATTATTCTATTATATCTAAATAAATAATATTTATATTAATAAGCGTGTTGATTTTGAACATTAGTATGGAATAACTACAGTATATGAAATAATTACAGCCTAATTCAAACAATTAATTTTATAATTATTATACAAAGTTTTATCTTCAAGTTTTTATTTTTATTTCAATATACATTCAACACATTTAATAGATAAATGTTATTTCTAAAGGCTCGTTCACCAGCTGATGCAGAAGAAGGTTTAATTTTTATGCAAGAAATGGTTGAATTATCAAAAACACAATCTTTGAATAATGATGTAGTACCTCAATCTGTTGTGTTTTGGACAAAAAATTCCAAGGAGATTCCTCAAAAGGTATTTTTGTTAAATAGATCAAATTAAATTTATAAATATTAATAATGGCTTGTATATTATTCTCAGGTTGTATTATTAGCAGGCCCAAGCCATTTCGGAAGAAAGTTGGAAGGAGATGATAAAGTTTTCGGCAAAGTTGTTTTTACTGAGCCATTGAGAGTTTGTTCAGGTATAGTGTACTATTTAAATAATTATTTTTCAGTAAGTACAATACGTTTTTTGGCAGTCTTAATAACTATAACACGAACTGCATTTTTTTTTTTGTATACATTAATATAGATCAGAATCAATGGGCTTTGTTTTTAACTTCCCGTAGGGTAAGTTATAGTAATCGCAAAAAATCGAAAATGAAAATGAAAATTTATATATCTTTACGTATCAAAACCTTCTGAACATTTTGGCATACCTTAGGAAAAATGGGCGTATGTGTGTGTGTGTGTGCGGATACAAATTTTCGTCGTCGATTTCGGGAACGCGGATTAACCGATTTCAACAATTTAAAAAATATTTGATTCGTATTGATAAGCAGATTTTAATAATGTGTATCAATTTTGTTTACATTTCTATGGGTTGCGTAACATCGTTTGTCCGTTAGACGGCGACGCGGCGCTTACGCGCTTCGATTATTTATCTCTATGCAGCTAAAGCAGTGCGATTGCTTTGGAAAAAAGTTCAAAAAATCCAAAATATTTCAAAATAAAAAAAACATTTTTTTCCAAAAGTTTTATTTCCAAAAATGTCAATTTTCTTTTAAAATTTTTAAATTTCTGAAAAATCAAATTTTTTCAAAGATTAAAATAAAATTAATTTTTTTTTAAAAAAAAAACTTTTGGTTCGGAAAGCTCCAGAAATTTTCCTTAAGTCACGATTCCATACACCACTAGTTAGTATGTGTCGGCAATCCCTGCTCAATTCATTTAAATATAATGACTTGGGTAATCTGGTAGTTTATGAACTAGATATGAAACAAAATTCATTTTTTGCATTGTTGATTTGAATATGTTGGACTAATGATCATCTTGGTTTCAACATTCCCATATATTGTGTGTATTTTTTTAGAAATTCTAAACTCAAAGGATTTGAAAGGACGCATTGCAATAATGGAAAGAGGTGATTGTATATTTGTTGATAAAGCGCGAAAGGTTGAAGCAGCTGGTGCCATTGCTGCTATTGTAGTAGACAATGTTCCTAGCACCTCATCTACTTTTTCACCAATGTTTATAATGTCAGGAGACGGAACTGATGATGTTCATATTCCCGTAGTATTTCTATTCACTGCAGATGCTAATGTTTTGAAAATTGCTATGCAAAAAGATCCTAATCTAGAAGTTGTATTAGGTGTAGCACAAATGATGAAAAATCAAAGCAATGAAGCTCCTAATATTTTTGATGAAACTCAAACCGAGAAAAATAATCTGCTTGGTGAGAAAGTAAATGAATCACGCAGCATCGGTGACAAGCACGGTTCAATAGCTTTAAAATACTTTACAGCTAGTTTTGTTACTGTCAATGGTAAAGTGAAAGTTGTCATTGAGTACACAGGACCTTCAAAAACTACAGATTTGAAGTCTGAACAGAATAACGATGACACAAAAAATTTGTTTGCTCCTTTTGTTTGGAACAAAAAGCGGAAAGAAATCTTGAATAGAGTTTTTTCGGGAAAACTAGAATTGCCTGAAGAACTTGTATTATATTATTTCAACATAGTCAATGAGCAACGTGGTCCAGATTTCAAAAGTCGATTAATGGTTGGTCTTAGATGGATGACGCACTGGCTATTAAATGAATTGGAAATAGAACGAGATCCTACAAGCATTTATGCAATACCCAGTGATTTAATAGTAGAAGTAAGCAAATCTGATATCAAAAACAAATTGGCAGCCACTCAAAAATTATTTGATGAAATTTTAAGATTCAAAGATAAATCACTAATTGAACTTTTAGAGCGAATGGATAAAATTGAAAGTTTAGTCAAACCTAAACCTGCCAGTGTTGATTCAGATGAAATTGTTTCTAGTGATCGGACTATAAGTAATAAAAAAGATGAACTTTGATGTTTGTTGACAGATTCAGAGATTGAATATTATTTTGCTAACAATATATTGTGTATGTGAGAATGTATATTTAAATTATAGAAATGTAAATATCTTTTCATTTAATTAATATATATTATGACATGATAATAATAGTGATTTAATTACATTTGTTCACCTCAAAATCAAAGCATGCCATATATTGATAAAAAAAAACAAAAGATATAAAAAAAAATCAATATAAAATCAGTCAATCAATACAATAATTTTAAAACTTTGAAAACATTGTAAATACAAATACAATATGTAGTTAATTAAAAATAAACACAATTAATATTATAAATAAAGTGTCAAACCAAACATTGTTAAATTTATTGTATTGATTGATTGATTTTATATTTGATATTATTTGTTTTTATATCAATATATGACATGCTTTGATTTTGGCGTGAACAACATTTATTTGATAACAAAAATCAAATATGTATAATTAAGATTGATGATTTAATATATCCAAGTTTTCAAGTTTTGATTATTTGCAATCTTCATGAATTGTGTTTGTGTGTGTTGCTTCATAGAAAATATTACAATACAAATTGAACATTTATCAATACTTTATTGCATATACACACAACATAATTTAGGTTTTCTTATAACAACATATAATTAAATTAAACCGAAACAAAATCCATTAGCCTAACCTACCCTAAAACTGAATTAATAAACAATTTTGTCTTCAATTTGTAAGGTCTTCTTCAAGTTTTATCGTTTCATGTAATTTCATGTGACTTCTCAAAACATGTGCTTGTGTAAAGGCTTTTCCGCATGTTTCACATTTATGTTTTCTTTCTCCTGTATGAGTAACCATATGTTGTTTCAATCCAGAGGAGCGTGTAAACTTTTTTTCACAGATCACGCACGAATACTTTTTTATATCGGAATGTTTATGTCTATGTTTTGCCAACTGGCTGCTTGAAATAAAAGTCATACTACAATCATTGCAAGCGTGAGGCTTTTCACCTGTATGTTTACGTACATGAATTTTAAGTGCTGAAGCATCTCGAAATCCTAAGGTACATATTTCGCAAACATGTTTATCATATGCAGTGTGATGTGCTTTAATATGTTTATATCTTGCATTCCAAGTTACAAATTTCTTGTCGCAATGCTCACAGGAATATCTTAATTCTCCTTTGTGTGTACTTTTGTGAACGTACAAAGCAGCATGTGATCTGTATGTTTTATTACAGATATTGCATTGAAAAGGACGCAATGTTGAATGTGTTATGAGGTGTAAATTTAAGTGATTTTTTTTATTGAAAACACGACCACATTGAGGACATAAATGCTCATTGTGCTTTGCAGCATGTTTTTTATATTCAGATTTATTGGCAAAAGTAAGATTGCATTTACGACATTTATGCTTCTGGGCATTTTTTGGACTTAAATCGCACATTGAACTTTCATCATCATTTAGAATAACAAATTGTTCTGATATAGATTCCTGGTTGGTTTCTGAAACATCTGTACCATTTGCAGAACTATCTAATTTTGTATGCATCTTGTGATTGTGATTATTATACCAATGCAATTTGTAAGCGTTCCTAGAGGAAAAAACAATTTGACATTTTTTACATTTGGCTTGATTCAATGTACTCGTGGCAATTGTAATTTTATGAATTATATCCAAATGTGTTTCATAGTCTTTTGTATTACTAAAAGTTATATTACATTTGTGACACTGAAGTTGATCAGTGTTTACTTGTTCCTTTGATTTATCATGAGATCCTTCAATTTGTGAATAAGTATCATTATTTGTCAATTTTAAAGTTCTACATTGAGATTTAGGACTTTTTTCGGAAGCATTTTGAGTTTTGCTTGTTTCCTGGTCTATTATAATTGTTTCATTCTTTGGGAAGGTCTTAGAGGCATTATTCAAATTATTTATATTATCGTCTATTAGAGTATCACATTTGTCAATCAAATAATCAGTTTTGGAGTTTGTGTCTCCTATGTGCATTCCTTTAGTAATTTTATCCACTTGTTCGATAGATTGCCTACATTTTTTCCAAAAGCCATAAGCTTCATGCAGCTCTTTGAAACAACTATTACAAATATGTTTTGGATATAGATCATTGAAAGTAACATCAAGTGAAGTACAAGAAATAAACATGTTCAACAATTCATTTCGTTTATCTAATGAGTGCCATTCTTGAACTGAAAATAAAGATTGCATTTCTTCGTCTTGAGCTAAACAAGCGCGACATGTTACGTTTCCAAGAACAAATACTGAAAAATTAGGATGACTTTCGAAAGAATCATCTTCGGATTCAGAATAGTGATAATTATTCATAGCTATTGTTCAAGAAATGTAGCGACTAAGCAATACTAATAATAGCAAAAAAAAAAGTTATTCGATAATGATTTATGCCTTTGCATTCAAAATTCAGTCGTTTCGTTTCCACCATAATATTTTTGAAAAGCATTTGTTGATATATCAATACCTTTTCTTAAAATAAATTTTATCATTTGCATTTATTATTTGACAGCTTTGACAACTGATTCAGTGCTGGGCGTTAAATAAAAAAACGTTTTTTTTCTGAACCCGTTATTTTTTCGTTAATAAATCAACCGTTTCGTCGAAGCGAAACAACTAATTGAAATATTTATGATTGGCCTAAAATTAATTTGAATAGTCTTGAATTTGATGTGTATATCATAGACAAATAAGTTGAAATAATATATTTTATTTGAGTGTAAACATGCGCGTTACATAAATAAAAAAATATATATAAGGCCTGTCACACGACGCTTGTTTCGTTGCTTTTTTGGTCTGCTTGCTAGCATGCTGGCTATCAAGTAGGCAAAATGACGCCCGATCTTTAAACTCAAACCAGTTGGTATTGGTATTTTGCCTTGAGGCAAGTTACATGAACTTTCCGATATGTATAAGTAATGACTTAATCATTAAAAAATAAATTAATTGAGTGCATTTATTACACATATTTTGAAAACGAACGATCACGTTACTTCGGAGTATTTTCTTAAAGACTTGAAACGTCGGAAAATTGAATCTTAAAAATCTTTCACTTTCATTATTATCTGATTGGCAACTTGTCAGAGGTGTAGAATTTATATTAAAAGTTTATGTGAATAATAATATAACCGTTCATGCAGAAGGATGAAAACAGACTGACTGATTATACGAGTATATTCTTTAACCAATCACATGCATTACAAATATTATTAACAATCACTTGTTGACACAAAACAAAAGAGAATATATACAGGATAGGATATATACATAAACATAGAGTAGGCATAGTTCGTTTAGTATCAAACTTCAACACCCCCACTATACTAAACAATTTGTGTACTCAAAAACTTCAAATGTTTATATACACTTAAACTCTTCGTGAATATATCAGCAGACGCATAATTTGCCTGCACATGCTTTAGATCGATTACACCATCTGCAATTGCTTCTCTGATGAAATGATAATCTTACATCAATATGTGTTTTAATCTATTGTGAAAAACTGGATTGTATGAGAGTTTTTGCGCTGACTTGCTATCATTGTAATAACATACACTCTCATCTACATCCATTAATTCCATTAACAAACCTTTTAATTATATCGCTTCTTTGGAAGCACCTGACATTGCCATGCACTCGGCCTCTGAAAGTTGTTACACGCATATGTGACATAATTATCAAATATTTTCTTCTTTCTTTTTATTTTAGACTTTCGTATTTCTGCATTCATTAACCTCACTGAAACACTGTTCACTACTGGTTCTATTGGGTTCTTGCCAGGCACATCTTCAATATTTTCTAGAATTTTTTCTGCTCTTGATCCTTTGTGTTTGAATGGAAATCTAGTTTGCTTTCCTTTACAACAAACTATACAATTATTTATGTCTGATGTTGCCTTCTCTGATATGGTGAGTCTTTTCACTAAGCCTTTAATCGATTTCGTATATGCCATGTATTTCCTGACTTAGGATCTGTAACTAACAAACAATTAATATTATTTGTCATACTCCACCTGTCATATAACCTGTAAGTACCGCCACTGCAACCAAAGTGTTATTTTTGTTATAAATTTTGCTTTTATTATCATTGAATACAACCCTGTTACCCTTTCTGGTAAGAGCGCTAACAGATAATAAATTAGCAGACAATTGTGGTACATAATGAGCATCCTGTACTTCAACATCATGAACTTGACCATAAACCTCTGTCCTAAGAAAAACGCTGCCGCAAGACACTACCTTCATTTGCGTATTGTTAGCTGTCCTTATTTTCTGCACATCAGGTTTCTTGTTGTATGTACCAATCTGTTTTATTGTATGTACCAGTTGAAAAAACTATGTTAAATGCATTTTTATCAGGCTCATTATTCACAGTTTTGGAACGACATTTATTTTTATAATGGCCAAGTCGTTTGCATTTAAAACATATAATTTCCTTTTTAATATCAAAATTATTCGAGTTTGAATCTTGGCGGTGCTTGTACCTGCCATTTTGTTTTTTCACAAAGGCGCCCTCATCATTATTAACCGCAACATCGTTTCCTATATCCAGCAGCTTCGTTTTTATTGCGTCCGTCGTAATGGCTATACCGGAATGCTCAATCGCCATAATCATCGGCGAAAACTTTTCCGGCAATACTGCCAAGAGCAAAGAGCCTATCCACTCATCATCAATATTAAATCCCGTTCCCCTCAATCTCTGTCCTATTCCATTATTTGATTGACATATGACATATAACGTCAAATTGTATAACTTGCAGTTTTAGACATGTCGATTTGGCATATGGCCAAATGGCATATGGCGCACGCTTTGAAATACTGCGAGTTCGACTATGAAACATCGACCCAGCGGCCGTTGTGTCTAAGAGTCCCAGTGACCGGCTTTAATGTCAAGTGAGAATCAATCACTTCTGTCAGGCCTCTCGTTAGCACCATGCCTCGAGGTCCGCTGAAGCAGAACCTGATTCGGTCGTCTCATCTTGATTTTTGTTGGATCGCGGACTCGGGAGATATCGGTATGGTGCCTCTATCTTCTCCCGTTGTCTGCGGCTATTGGGGGGGCACTGACAGCATGGGGCTGTCAGTTTTGTGTGTTGTGTGTTGCATGTTGCATGGTACGTGTGAGCGAGTGAGAAGCGTTCGCGTTCGACGATTTTGGAAGACCGGGTCCAGAGTCGACTAGCGATCGCAGCGTGAAATGGGTGACGATCGCGGCATATGCCGGACTTTGGAAAACCGGATTTCAAAGTCTTTGTCGATCTCAGAGTGAATCCTCCCTCTCGTGGCTGACACCTTATCGTGGTGAGGGGGTCCACTTGGGCGATAAACGTCCAATTGCCAAGAGCAGTCGTCTACTTTAGCACTTTTGTATACTAGTTATACTTTCAAGGTATAAAAATTAATTAGTTGTGTGTGTCACATGAAAATACCTGTTATTAAATTCAATTGAATCAATAAATATATTTTCCAAAATTTTTTGGGCCAACATTTTTTTGACCAAAATTTATTTGACCAAATTTTTTTGACCAAAAATTTTTTTGACCAAAATTTTTTTGGCCAAAAATTTCTTTCCGAAAATTTTTTGGGCCAAAATTTTTTTGACCAATTTTTTTTTGACCAAAAATTTTTTTGACCAAAATTTTTTGGGCCAAATTTTTTTGACCAAAATTTTTTTTCCAAAATTTTTTTGACCAAAAATTTTTGTTAACTCAACTTTTTGTTGGGTTTCAATTCGTTCAAATGAGCAATCAATTGCTTCTGCCAGGAGCAGAATCTGATCGGGCTGTCGCACACTGTGCAGTACTGCCTGTACAATTAATAATTAAATTCCTTTCATTGGTTCTCGCTTACGAGAGACCCTTGTGGGAGTACCCGCATTGCCACCCCGACTCATTCAGCGACTAAAATTTTTTTTCCAAAATTTTTTGGACTAAAATTTTTTTAGCAAAAATTTTTTTGACCAAAAATTTTTTTCCAAAATTTTTTTGACCAAATTTTTTTGACCAAAATTTTTTTGTCCAAAAATTTTTTTGTCCAAAAATTTTTTTGACCAAAATTTTTTGGGCCAAATCCGAAGCCCGGATAATCCGATATTCCAACAATCCCATATTCTGGTAATCCGATATTCCGACAATCCGATATTCCGATAATCCTATATTCCGATAATCCGATATTCCGATAATCCGAAGTCCGGATAATGCGAAATCCGGATAATCCAAAGTCCGGATAATCGGAGGTCCAAATAACCGGAAGTCCGGATAATCGAAAGTCTGGATAATCCGATATTCCGATAATCCGATATTTCGGTAATCTGATATTTCGATAATCCGATATTACGATAATCCGATAATCGAAATTCCGGATAATCCGGAAGTCCGGATAATCCGAAGTCCAGATTATCCGACGTCCGGATAATCCGATATTCCGACAATCCGATATTCCGATAATCCGATAATCCGATATTTACTAAGGCCAAATCCGAAGTCCGAATAATCCGATATTCCGATAATCCGATATTTACTAAGGCCAAATCCAAAGTCCGAATAATCCGATATTCCGATAATCCGATATTCCGACAATCCAATATTCCGATAATCCGATATTTCGATAATCCGATATTCCGATAATCCGATATTCCGATATTCCGATAATCCGAAGTCCGGATAATGCGAAATCCGGATAATCCAGTCTTTCCAAATTTTTTTCCCAAATTTTTTTTTCCAATTTTTTTTGACCAAAAATTTTTGTGCCAAAATTTTTTTGACTCAAATTTTTTATGCCAAAATTTTTTTGACCAAACATTTTTTTGATGGTCCGATAATCCGATGTTCCGATGTTCCGATAATCCGATAATCCGATGTTCCGATAATCCGATATTCCGATAATCCGATAATCCGATATTCCGATAATCCGATGTTTCGATAATCCGACCAAAATTTTTTTGACAAATTTTTTTGACTAAAATTTTTTTTG